TCTGTTGTTTCTAAAATAAACTCAATTCTTTAGTTTTATACATTGTATATGAATAGGTGCTGTTACCAAGTGGACTAATTGGCAATACATGTTCTAATAAGAACAGCGGCTAATTTGAACTCCACTGTTTTGTCAGGAGAAGAAGGCCATAAAAGAAGAGAAGTTGAAGCAAGAGGAGAAGTATATGTGGGCTATTGTAAATGGAGTCAAAGAGAAGGTGTGGCATCTACATTGTGTTGTATTTCATCCGTTTTTGTATTTTTTTAACATTTTTCCCCTTCTTTGGGGGGTGGGAGTGGGAAGGGTAACTTATGTTTGGTTTCAACGGCTTGGTGTATACATAGCTTTTGTTGCTTGTATAAAATCATCAATATTTCTTCATTGACTACTCAAAAATGTGTCTTGGGAGAATAAGTTTTTATTCTTCTTTTCTTTGCATGTATTTTCATATTATCTTGACTGTTTGTAATGCAGCAGTAAAGCCTTGGAAGTCTCAATATAGAAGTATGATGTGCAACCTATTATTGCTCTGGAGAGTGAAGCATATTTTATAAATTTGCAGAGCTACTGATTAGTTAAAAAAGCAAAGTTGTAATGAATTATCAATGTTTAGCAGCTTCTGTATATTTTCATGTTTGTTTTCTTCAAACCAGCAAATAAATTTTCAAGATATCAATAATTAGTTCTGCAACATTTTGATAATACTAAAGATTTATGGGGGCATGTACATAACAGTAAATATTTTGAAATGCAGCTGGCTCTAATTCTTAATGCGGCATAAATGATGAGGGCTCAACATAGTTATATTCATCTTGGGATTTTCATGGTGCCTTATTTGATCAAATACACTGTTGTTAGATGATAGTGATGTAGACTAGTTTAATGTGGCTTTCTTCTGATGCATGTCTGAGGTATCTGGCAACGATTTCATTTGCAGGTTGGGAACTTCAGGGTTGAACCGCCTGGATTGTTCCGAGGCCGTGGAGAGCATCCAAAGGTATATTAAACATCTTTCTGCTAGAAGTGGAGCTCTAGTGTTCTTCTAAAATTTCCTCTATATACAACAAATGGGGGCAATATTAAGAGTTTTAATGAGTGAATAGCGTTGAACAGATGGGGAAGCTTAAAAGACGCATACGTCCTAGCGATATCACCATAAATATTGGAAAGGATGCACCAATTCCAGTGTGTCCTATCCCTGGTGAAAGGTTCTTTTTCCTACTTATTAGTTTTCTCTTTTGAAGATCAGGAAAATGGCCGATGATGTTTCAGTTTAAAATGGCATTGATTTGAAGAGGTAACATTACGAATTTAATAATTGGCAGCTGGAAAGAAATAAGGCATGACAATACCGTGACATGGTTAGCATTTTGGAATGACCCAATCAATCCAAAGGAATTCAAATATGTTTTCCTTGCAGCAAGCAGTACCCTGAAAGGGCAAAGTGACAAGGAGAAATACGAGAAATCGAGACTTTTGAAGGTATTGAAGATGCAGTTAACCAATAAACGTCTTTGTATCACCTGTTTTTATTGTAGGACTAACTTACTATAAATATCTCTGCTATTTGACTGAAGGACTACATAGAAGGTATTAGAGCAGCTTATACTAAGGGTTTTGCAAGTAAAGATCCTACAAAGAAGCAGATTGCAGTTGCTACCTATCTTATTGACAAACTAGCTCTTAGGGCAGGCAACGAGAAGGTACAAGGTCTATGATTTTTTATTTTAAGCATCCCATACATTGCATTTTTTATTGTTTGAGAACTTCTTGAGCAATGACAACAAACTAAGGCTTATTCCCACATTCTTTTTTGCCATTCCATTCAGCTCATAGGTAGAACTAGAATTAAGATTCATGTAATAGCATCGGACGAAGTTTTACACTTGCTGTCAACCTACCACAATCCAGAACTTTGCGAACTCGAGAGGAATTTATTTGCAATGCACTGTTATTATGATCCACCTACATGTTCTTAATTATGCATTCTACATTTACCATCAGACGAAGTTTTACACTTGCTGTCAACCTACCACAATCCTGAACTTTGAGAACTCAAGAGGAATTTATTTGCAAAGCACTGTTATTATGATCCACCTACATGTTCTTAATTATGCATTCTACAGTTTTTTCCCCATGACAAATAAAATGGGACGATGCAACGTCTCAACACTTTTTAGTATTTTACAGGATGATGATGAAGCTGATACAGTTGGTTGCTGCACCTTGAAAGTAGAAAATGTAGAACCAATGCCTCCAAATATTTTGAAGGTAATGTGACTTTATGTCTAGTGTAACTATTTCTCAAATATATATGTTTTAGATTTTCCTTGTAAGATGTAAGATTCACGAGTTTGATAGATTCTGCGGAAAAAAATGAGGATTGAAACAACTTCTAAACAAGTTTACACTGTTGACAGTTCTGAGAATTAAGAAAATAATAACTTTGCAAGATATTTTCACCCTGACGGCATATCTGTTTGTATTTGCAGTTTGATTTCCTTGGTAAGGATTCTATCCGGTATCAAAATGAGGTTGAGGTTGAATCTGCTGTCTTCAAGGCAATCCAACAGTTCCGGAGTGGTCAGTAGACGGTCTTCTGTATACATACTTAAATTTATTGTTACACATTTGAATATTATCTGTATCACTTTCAGGCAAAAAGGCTGGTGATGATCTTTTTGACAAGCTTGATACCAGTAAACTAAATGCTCATTTGAAGGAACTCATGCCTGGTCTGACAGCAAAAGTATTCCGTACATACAATGCATCAATAACCCTGGATGAGATGGTAAGATTCAACCTGGCATTTATAGTCTCCAAGTTAGTATCAGTTCATATGCTGGATGTCTGTGGTAAACATTTAATTCTGCCCTCAAATATTTTAGTAGAAAGAGAGGAGAAGTGATTATACGTGCAGCCATGCAGGTTATATTGGAAAACTCAAAAAGATGATACAAGATCTGGATGATAATGAACTTTAATAGTGTTACGAAAATTAATTAGTGCTTACTCTTGACGGTCTATCAAAGACTAATAGGAGTTTTAGTGGGCTACATTCTCCTATAAATTGACACACCTATTTACATAGCTTAGACATTCTTAATGTGGGACATAATTGAAGTTATGTAATCAGTATTCACAACAAATTTACATGCCGTGAGTTAGCTCATGAAATTTATTAATGTCAAGAAGTGTGTGAGACCTTTGACAACTATACCTTGATTTTTCGATTCAGCGTTTCTTTAATTTGTTATTTCTGGTACAGTTGAGTAGGGAGACAAAGGGTGGAGATGTAGCTGAGAATATAGTTGTTTATCAACATGCAAACAAGGAGGTAAAGATTGTTAAAAGCTAAATGTCTGATGACATCATTTTTTTTTCAAGTTTGGTTGAGATACTTCTATTTGTATGTCTATTGTGTAGGTTGCAATCATTTGTAATCATCAACGTACTGTCTCAAAGTCCCACAGTGCCCAGATGTTGCGTTTGAATGAAAAGATAGAAGAATTAAAGGTAATGAATGACTTCTAAATCTAATTAATCACTGCATGCAATTGATGTTACTAAAATATTATGAGCTCAAAAGTTAGCTGCTAGTTCGAGGACGTCACTGCTTAAGTGGAGCATTGATGGATCATTATCGTATTTACCTGAACTTATATTGATTGGTTGAAAAACTGGACATGTAACGGTTAGATGCTTGTTGCGAGCCTAGGTCACTATAAAACAATGTGGCTAAGTTATAGCAAAAAAGGGTAGATAATATACATTTTCCACATTCAAGTAAAAAAAAAAGTTCAAATTTATTTCGAAAGTAACTTTCAGTGCAGTCATCTGAGAACTGATACTTGTCAGGGAATTTTAGGACGTAATATTTTATGTCTTGTGTATAACTTGACTTAGTTATTGTTTGTAGGGTGTTTTGGAAGAGTTGACGACAGATTTGGTTAGGGCAAAGAAAGGAAAGCCCCCACTAAAGAGTGCTGATGGGAAACTGAAAAGGAATCTTAACCCCGAAGCGTAATTACATTTCGTCCTAATTGTTGAGTTATTCTGTGTTAGATATCATGTAGCTAATGGTGGAACATCATGCAGATTAGAGAAAAAGATAGCTCAAACAAATGCTAAGATAGAAAAAATGGAACGAGACAAGGAGACCAAAGAGGATTTGAAAACTGTAGCATTGGGCACGTCAAAGATTAACTACCTTGATCCTCGAATCACAGTTGCATGGTGCAAACGTCATGAAGTTCCTATCGAGAAGGTGAAAAGTTGAATTTCTGGTGGATTAGTTTTCATTGTTTCCTGGTCCTCTTAATGAGTTACTTATCAACTAATTGTTTCGCACTGTTGCAGATATTCAACAAGTCTCTCCTGGCAAAATTTACTTGGGCGATGGATGTGGATCCTAGTTTCAGATTCTAAATTTTGTTAGTTATAGCGCAGGACATCCCCTCCACCCCTCCAACCGAAGACAGAGATAGACTAATCTGACTATATTTATTTATTTATTATTTCTGTGGAAAATTCCTGTTGTACTAAATCATCTCAATGAAATTGTGGATGATTTTCTCCCACTTTGAGTTAATTATTGTTGGATTTCTCTCCTTTCTGTGTTCTGAGTGTGATTTCTTTGTTTTCGTAACTTCTAATTCAGACATGGAGTTGCAATGTAACTACTGAATTATAATCATGGTTTTTGCTGAACTCTGCTAAATATGACGACTTAAATTTTAGACATTTTTTTGGCTCTATAAGGAGCAATGTATTTGGATACAGTAAACTAATCAACTTGTTTTACAGGATAAATAGGTCATTTTATGGTTACCACAAGCAAAAATCACCAAAAAAAAACAAAATGAAAATGAAAGAAAGGGTATAAGAAAGGTGAAGTCCAAACAAGAAAAAACTCTCCATTTTTAGTATCAGATGTATATTTCTTCAGGACAAGCGAAGGACCAGGATGCAGGAGCCTTTCGAGTTCCATCATGTATGTATTATAAACATTTGATCAGCATACGTGCGACAGCAACCAAAACAACGATCCCAATAACTGAAACAAGTGGGCACAAGCAGGAGCAGCCACCCTTTGTGCGTTTATTTAGAAATGCAAGCTTTCTCTGCGCTCGCTGTTATCATTACGGAGAAGACCAAAAAAGAAAAAATCAGCGTAAAAATTAGAAAAACACACTAATACAATCAAGATTGCACACACTATGAAGAAGTCACATTAGGCAATCCACGGTTCAAAGAACCTGACTTCTTATGACATGAATCCTTGGAATCATCCAAGTAAGAGGATTAAAATGCTCGAAGACTTTTGCCTCAGATGTCTATAAGTCGAGAAAAATTCGTGCCAAAAATTATAGTACTCATCTCAATAATTTTACACCAAGAATACGTGCAGTAGCTCAACGAGGTTTTCTAATAATATGATAAGACTAGAAATATCACCTGTAGTCCGGATTCTGTAACATCAACGTGTTGGTCCAAACTATCCTGCTCAGAATATATCAAATAGACATGAACTCAAAAATCAGTGATTTTAGAAGACAATAAATCTGGGTTAGTAAAATGTACAATAACACACGCACAATTAGTCTTGTATGCAGATCAAGCTCCTCATTGACTGCTAATGCTATATGTTTGGTGCTGATCACTGTCTCCTCCAATTTCTCAAGATCCTCATCTTGTTCTGCATAGAAAGTGATGATACACATAAGCGAAACAATTGATTAAAAAGGAGAAGAACATAAACTTTAAAATCTTCGCAGAAACTAACCTTTCATGATTTGATGCTGAAGACCAACAAACCCAGAGTTCTCAAGGCCTGCTGTTTTACTCATAGCATCAACCGGCTTACTTTCTGGCCCGAGCAAGCTGTCCCTGTTTGTGAAGTTCGACATATTCAATGTGGAAGCCATCTGGCTTACTTTTGATCTTAAATTTGCAACCATGTCCTTGCGACGATTCATTTCTTTCTGTGTCCTGCATATAAGAAATAACGGGTTTAACAAGCATAAAAAACATGATAAACAAATATGCTTGGAGAAAACATATACAAGTGAACCATAAACGAGTATCCAAACATGCTTGGAGAAAGCACAGAGAGGAAACAAATAGACAAATGAAGCAAAGAGAGGTACAGGTAGTTTGAGAATTGGACAAATTTAGAAAGTGAACCATAACACAGAGAAGGTACATGGGATAACGCCTTGATCATTTTAACATTGTACATCAACATCCTTATCCAATGGCCAGTTCAATAGAGAACTTACAAAGGCTGCTTTGCAGGAAGCTTTGACAGAAGAGACTCTAGGCTATCGAGTCTGGTGCTAAGTATGGTAATTTTCCTCCGTATTGCAGATGAATGTCGCTGTGTTTCTCGCCCTGTTGCAGGAAATGAACTCTCTTCAGATATCATGTTGGTGATATCATCAGCAAGTTTTACTGCTTCATTATATTCCCTCATCCATGGATCTCTAGAAGCAGCCATTCGTCTGGAAAATAAGATGGTGGAATTTTTAGCATTACTAAGAAGCTCTCATCTGAACACAATCATCCTATCAGCTATAACAATGACAGACGACCCTTTTTAGGCACGTTATAGATCACACGGATTTATTAGTAACAAGGATACACAATATTGCACATTGATGCAATGAGAGATTCAACAAGTCAATTTGAAAAAAAGTAGTTTTAGATTATCAAGAAGACAAGAAAAAAGTGCACCAAAATAATAGCAAGACGGAAAGAACCATTCTTGTCCCTTTAATCCAAGCAAGAAACAACCTTTTTCGTAGTGTATTAACTGACAAGATACCATTTCAAAAAACTTCAGATGGTAAAACCTAAAATTCTACCCGAAACAAAAAATTTAACATAACCTAAAAATCTATCTAACAACTCTTATTTAAGAGAATGTAAAATTCAGGGCTTAAGAAAGAAGGTCAATGAAGAAGAACTATACGTATATATTTATACTGCTAAAACACAAAATTACTCATATACTGGCTATAAGAAAACTGTGATTGCATCAAATTTAAAGGATGAAAATTTGTTTACCTTTACGACTGGAATCAGCGAGTTGAATTATGGAATTGGAGTAGCTGATTGAGGAAATTGCTGTGTTTGAATAATTTAAAAGAAGCAAATCAACTGAGAACACACGGCACCACCAATTGCCGCCAAGATTTGTCCGTCATAATTGTCGTTTCTGCTGCAGGCATTGCGACAATGATCATTAAACAGGAAGAAAATCTTCTTTATTAATTATTATTATGATGATAACGATTCAGAATACACACTATTGACTAGGAATACGAATTTTTGAATGAGTTCGAACATAATTCATCAATTAGACTTCAACTCTTCAACGTCGTCGTCGTAATTACATTGACCGAGTGAATGCATTGATTTTCTTTTACTCTCATTTCACATTAGAAGTTCCATTTCAACTAAAATTCATCTTGTTTGATAGTGTTTTAAAATCATTTATAACTACTCTTTTTTAAAACTTATTTTATTTACTTTTTACTCCTACATTATAAGTAATTAAAAATTAACCAAACAAGTACAAACATCTTCTTCCTACGAAGAGTGAATCACTTTTAGACGTTTTTACAAATATAAGAATAACAAGTTAGAATGCAATAGCTAGTTACATGGTGGAAAAGACAATAATGCAAGAACACAGTTAAGAGGAAAATTTGAGTGAATATAACTGGCCAGATAACTTACCTTATGTCCATCTCTAGTCCCCGTTTAAGGGTTCAACCACTCATGCAATGCACTCAAGGGTTTTATGGTAAAATGCAGGAATCAAGAGGAGATCCTGCCAAAAAGCCCCCACCAGATTACTTCTTATAGAGTTTTATGTCAGAAAGATTTACCATTACAATTTGATATTCTTAAATTGATCGAAAATCTCACCGTATAGTTGCATGGTGAGACTAAGCTGTCGGCAGACAGACTCAACGATGAGATGGTTGGAAACTATGGTAGTATGGTGTTCGAGAACATGCTTTGATTATTGTAGTGCTCCGAGTGTCCTGTGCGTAATCTATCTTTATGTTTTCTGACATGCCAAAGAACACTGATACAGAGAAATTACTCAACTCCCAACTGCTGAGTGTCGAGAGAGCTATTGAATTTGTATGTCATCAGGAGATCTCTTCGCTCCTTTTACTACCTTTGCATACTTTTGTTTTTGTGCTCGTTCGTGGCGGTTAATGCTCTTGCAACATGGATGTCCTCTTGCCCTGTACCGTATGTATCAAATGTGTTGTTACTTCAGATGGTTGGTCTACTTTCTCCATTTCTTTAGTTGCATGTAAAATGGGAGGTGATGTCCATTTGTAATTGAAGCCTCGATCCGTTTTGGTGTGGTTTGGGTATGAAATCCACAGTGCTGTCGACTGAACCTTCCTCGGTTGTAATTATATTGTTGAACCAACCATTGATGAAAATTGCTTAATTAGGAGTTATATTGCAATGGTGAATGGTCTTTCATGTAATTGCTATGCAATATATGTTAATTGTTGCTATTATCAGTTTGGAGACGATAGGTAATAAAATGTGAAATTTGAAATTAAATTGAAGTCTAAAAATTTATTAAGATAAGTTAAAATTTAGTATGAAAATTGAATTTCAATAAAAGTTAAAAGAATAATGTTATTTATCATCATTTGTGTCAGCACCAATTTAAGTGATAACAACGTGATATTAAATGATAGATTTATTTAAATATAATGTCACATAATTAATTTAGTTGAACCTATTAAGTGAGATCACCTGAACTAATAAATGACAATGGGATGAATTTATCATTTTTAGTTGCAACAAAATACCTCTTAAAACTAAGAACTTGATTAGTATATATCCAATTGTCTCCATATTTCCTTGGCTCATTTCATTAGGGGTGGACATGGTCTCATTTGATTTTAGTTCCAAGAGAATCGAACAGAACCATAAATCAATGATATATATATTTTTTAATGAAACAAAATGATTTTATTTTTTTAAAGATACGAAACCAAATCGAAATCGAACCATTTGATTATGGTTTGGTTTGGTTCTAGTTTCATTACTAATCGAGAAAAAAAATAGAAAAAACATTTAAGGGAGAAGAACTAAAAGATAAGGCTTTAATTTCAGAAATTCATGTGACGGTGGTGGCTGAGTGCGACGATAGTTGTTGGTTTTCATATGAGAATTGGTGTATAAATTGAAGAGATAAAATGATAAATGAATTAGGATCTGGGTCTCCAATCTCCAGATTGAGAAATGAGAAATCGAAAATAAATGATATTTTTGTCCTAATTTTCAATTGAATTTTGAAAGTAAGAAAAAAAAATTGGTTTACATGTAAAATTATTTTATTGAAAGAATCTACCGTTTAAAATCAGTTTGGAGAATAATGCATTTTATACAACGGGGCTCAAATGTGATCCGATTTTATCATTTTGTTCACCCCCTACATTTCATCATCTTTTTTATCCAATCTCATTTTCCTTCTTTTTCAGTTTTACCGTGAGATTGTCAACACCTTGATTGTCTTGCCTGCTAATTTTGCCAAAACACCAGCCTACGCCAGTCACGAAGCTCCTACCTAACTACTCAACCCACCTACTCCTGCACGTTATTCTCATTTTCGAACTCCAAAAGCTATTCCAAGAATGTAAATGACACTCCAGTCTATTTAAAACCCATTTTTCTCACCTGGGATTTTTTACATGGCACGATCAATTTTCATTTTTTTAATAGTTTGTGTATTTAATTTTTGCCCTACCCATGTTCGATCAAATAATCAAAAAGGGTACATTACGGTAGACATATCGAATAGGGGTCTTGATTTTATCAAGGATTTGTTAATAGAAAAGGCAAAGTCGTCGTTGCTTCCACTTTACCTGCCCAAGATCGAGAAGGCTGTGAAAATCCCAGTTGTGGGTAAAGTTCATATGGTTCTTTCTAATATTACTATGCAAAGGATCGATGTGATTTCTTCAACTGTGAAAACTGGTGATAATGGTATAATTATAGCTGTTTCTGGGGCCACCGCGAATCTGAGTATGAATTGGAAGTATTCATATAGCACCTGGTTGATTCCTATTGCTCTTTCGGATCAAGGAAGTGCCACAATTCGGGTATGCAGATTATCAATGCATGTATAATTTGTGTAGTCTTGAATGCTCTACATGGAACCGCAGTATAATAATCTAATGAGTTATCATATCTTCTGAATATTTTGTTGAATGAATTTCAAGTTAATTGGAAGGTAACTTCAAAAAGCTTTAATTTTACGCATTTTAGATGCCAAAAGGTGATTTCAGAGAGTTGAATTTCAGTGAAGAGTTCATCTAGGATGGAGAATTATTGATGTGTAGTGTGAAGCGAGAAAAATGAACAAATTCGACGATTCCAAGTAAAATACTGAGAATGCTGTTAAGATGAAAATACTCGAAATCATGATAGCGATATTAAGCCCGTGTTTGGAATTTTAATTTAAGTCAAAATCAACAATTAATTTCAACCACCTATTTGATCGAATCCAAAACTTTTCAACCACACGTTTCTTAACTTTTATCAAAATCTGCTAAAAATATAATTTTAATCTTCATCAAACTGGGGCTAAAACAGATGCAATAATAAACGCGAATTAACACCAACTGGGGATAAATTAACAGATATGCGGCTTAGGCAGTGAGGACTTTTTTGTTCTGACTTTGAAAATCTCTTGTGCACTAGAGTGATGTGATCCTGTTAGAATAGGTTAGAAGAGGAAGAGACACATCAAAATTTAATATGACATGGTTATGAATGATGTATTGCAATTAGCTATCGATGTAGGCATGTAGCAATGAATTGAAAGGAGCAGAGGAAATGAATTCATGCAGCCTACTCGAAATTATCTGGTATCGGGATTAGTTTGTTGTCGTTATATGCAATAATATGTACTGCATGCATCTGTATGTTTGTATATTAGGACTTGGCGGATTTTGGTGCGGAGGGAGAAGAGAGAACTAGTAGCAGTATTTATGATTTAGGTTTCTGAAAACCTGTCACAGCCTAACAATGGCCAAACTGATTAATGGTCAGGCTGAAGCTCGCTGGCTATTTCACTAATTAAAATAGGCATATTTACTAAGACGTAGGTGTATGTCTCATAGTATGTCAATTGTATTACAGATCGGAAAGCAATCATCATTGCAGTAAAAACAATGAAGTTTACTTCCTTAGCTTATACTTTTACAAGCTTCCAGAGTTGTCAAAGTGCCTCAAAATGATGTATATGATCTGTTTTTATGAAAGTTGAGAATTCTTCCCACATTTGTCAGAATAACACTTCCGCTTCAAGTACATGTTTCAATCTTACATTTTCTATTCTGTTCTATTTTACATTTAGAGTTTAGATTTTGCAGCTCCATAGAAAGATCCTTGTTAGAAACTTTTTATGGAAGTTAAGTCCTTGCATTCTTAGAAACATAAAACTGACAAAACTAGTTTCTTTAGTTTTAATCAGCTAGTTGTGCAAGTCTTGGTAGTGATAGAACTCCAGACTCTTAACTCTAAAACTTCTAATATCATTAATATGTTTACAGTAATTTTCATTACTTTTTGTGAAGTCATGGCATGATCTTCAATAAATATATTCTCCATGGGAAATTGATGTATTCTGCTTCTTCTAAGGTTGAAGGTATGGAAATTGGGCTTACCCTCAGTCTGAAGAATCTACAAGGATCTCTTAAGCTGTCTGTTCCGGACTGTGGATGTAATGTGAAAGATATATCTATAAAGTTGGATGGTGGAGCATCTTTGCTTTATCAAGGGTATCGTTTTTCATGTTTTCTGAACTATGGCAATCTTCCTTGGTTTTGTTGTTTGTATTTCTGGAAAATTGGGCAAATGATTTAGCCCTTGTTTGAGCTCCATTATCTAAAAACTCATTTTCAATCAAACATTTTTTCAATAAAATAATTTTGCACGTAAACTCAAAAATTTCCCTACTTTTTAATCACATTTTTTTCAAAAAAAATTACTATTACAAAATCTGTTCTCCCAAAAAATGAGGCTCCAACAGAGCCTTAGAATGTTAAATGCATAGACTTTTTGAACCTGTAAGGAAACCTTTTGCTTTACAACTTTTGTGTTCGCCCTGCTGATTATTGTAGATTATGTTCCTGTCTGGTAGACATTAAAATCAGATTTTTTGCAAATTTGATGAAAGTTGATGAAATATGTGGTTGAAAAGTTGTGAGTCCTATGAAATGTGTAGTTAAAATTAATTGTTGATTTTGATTTATATTTTAATCAAAAAATTTAGCAGTACCAAATAGGGGCTATGTTTTTATTATACGTTTAATTATTAATGAGGAAAGTAAATGTTACTATAGGTCATCAGTGTCATGCCAGGACCTAATTGCATATATACCTGTTTCACTCATGGCTAAATATGCTGATTCTTGGTGCCAGTTGGAAATTGATATTATCCAATATGATATTTATTTTGTCCATAGCATTATCTGTGCTCGTGCAAATCCTAGATGAACATCAAGAACTTTCATCCTAAGATGAAATGTAAATACCTCCTTGATGTGCACTTTGAAACTATTTTCTTTGTCGATGACAAATGTATCTGGGAAACACGTTAAGTCTAATTTTTCTTTTTGTTTACTCTACTTTCTATCTGTGAACGGGCTAGTTATGTAAATTTTCTTTTACTTACTTTCCATGACTATTCATATTCATTTTGTGATTCACCTCCCATTTTTCAGGTTGGTGGATGCCTTTGAGGGTACAATTGTTTCTGCAGTTGAAAATGCTGTTTCCAAGAAAATAAAAGATGGAATTGTAAAGCTTGATTCTGTATTGCAATCTCTTCCTAAAGAAGTTCCAATAACTAATGTGGCTTCCATGAACATTACATTTGTTGATGATCCAAAGTTGAGTGAATCATCACTTGACCTCGAAATAGATGGGTTGCTATCTGCCAAGGATGAAATTATAGTTTCCAACCACCATCAAGAAACTTTACAAGCTTCATTCTCCTACAAGGAAGTGGATAAGATGGCCAGGATCTCATTGCATGAAGATGTTCTTAAATCTGCATCAGCAGTCTACTTGGAAGTAATTTTCTAATTTCATTATTTTAACGAGTCTGCTGGATTTGAAATTTGGATCAATTTTTTTTAACAGATAAAGTGAATGTAAAAAATAGGGAAGAAGAGCAAATTATTTAAAAAGTTGGGGTGTCTTTATCCAAGACTGACTGGTAGATTCTAGAAAATGGTAAGCTTGTCACATATCCATATATTACAAGGCATAGGCTGGATAGTGTGTCCTTTTCTCTGAGCAATCTATTGCCTCTGTTTTCGATCACATTGTAATTGAATTTGGCAAAGGGGATGAATTCAACTGCAAAATTGAAATGGGTAGTTCTTCTTACAGTAGTCCAGTGTATAGGGGTGCTTCAGAACAATGAACCAAAGTAAAGGTTCATCCCTTCTTTTAATATTGTATAATACTATCTAATTCACCTGCTAAACGTGCCAAGCTACCTGATCCATAGGGTCTAGCGTTTTTTGCTGGATCCCATAATAGAATTGTCAAATCATGATAACCATTTGATAACAAGATAATGAAAGTTTGTTCTTCTTTTCAGGCAAAGAAGATGCATTGGATTGTTGACAACATATCAGATCAATCTCTCTTGAACACAGCTGGATGGAGGTTTTTTATTCCGCAGTTGTACAAGTTGTATCCAAATGATGACATTAACCTGAATATTTCTGTATCTTCACTGCCAACTATAAAAATTGAAAAGCAGCAGATTGATGCAACAATTCCCTTGGATGTGGTGATTGATGTTTTGGATGCGGGTGAAGTAATTCCAGTTGCAGGCTTTTCAACGGTATGTTTAGCGAAACACCTGTGAAGGATTTTCTTTTTCTTTTCCAAGCATGGATGGCCAAAGGTGTAAAATCAGGTGATTTAACTTGAATCAACTAAATCAGTTGATTTAACTTGAATCAACTACCTTTTGTATCTGGCATGTATCACATTGTTTGATTTAAGTTGAAAAGGAATTTTGACTTAACTTGGTTTGTCAGTTGGATTCATTTTAGTTTTGTCACTCTATTGCTCTTATCATGTCAAATCTTAATGTATGCCAACGGGATGGAAGTGATGAATTTGTTTTGCTGTAGGTCTTTAGTGCTTCAATATCTGCTGAAATTTCAGGGAACACTCTATTCGGTAGAGTGAAGTTAAATGAATTCAGCATGTCTCTTAAGTGGAGCAAAATCGGTGACTTGCACATGCGTCTAGTCCAGGTATACTAGTTCATTGTTTGATTCCTTGATTTCAGCAGGTAAATTTGATCATCATATAATGTTTGTAGAACCTAAAAAGCATCAGACTATGCGTTCATAATTCGAATGACTGAGATGTATCACACATTCTTACTGCCTTGTGTTACGCATGCCACCAGTACATATCCTACCCAATCGAGATAGGATGTTATTCAAACGAATTTCAAGTAATTGTATCTTTCATTCTTACTGCCTCGTTTGGTAGAACCATTTCTATGGTCCGGGTATTACAGATGAAAAGATTGGTTAAATTGATAGAAGGGTCAAACAAATTATCACACTACGTGACATTGAGTCTCATACCAATGATACATTGGAACATTTAATTAAGAGTTATGCTACAAGTACATCAAGGGATACATAAGGGTGTCCATAATGGACACCCGGCGCTCCCCGATTGGATGGAGTGCTGGCCCCACCTGCACTCCATTCCTGGCTCCCTCCCATTGGAGAGAGTGCCCGACCCACCAACACTCCATCTAATGGGCATGCGCCGGGTGTCCATTATGGACATCCTTATGTACCCCCTAATGTACACTTAGCATTTTCCTTTAATTAAATGTGAATAATCTTGTAGATAGCATAGATACTGAAATTCCTAATATTCTATATAGAATAATAAATTGTAGTCAACAGAAAAGCAGGATTATCATCAACACAACACCCCCTCCCCCCAACCCAAATGTCATTCAGCATTTGGTAGCAGTACTCTTGGCTTATTTCTGCTAATCGTCACGTATTAGTTGATGTTAAATTCCTGACAGGCATTCTTGCTGGCTTATCAGTTTTGGCTGAATAAACTATTTAGAAGTTGTCTAAACTTTAAAAATAGATTAGCCTTCAGCAGCTGAGCTTTTGTGGTTGCCTCATCGTTTCTTCTGCATAAATGAGTTGTTGAGACGGCAGGTCAAATACATTTTGAGGGATTTTACCCCTTCGTATTTGAAGTCTGAATTTGTGGGGTTGGTTTAGATCTTCCAATAGCTGAACCAAATTCATTGGGAACAAAATTTGGTTTGTTGTTGTACTCTCTTGTTTTCAAGGTTTTTCTTTTTGTGGGTCAGATTAGAAGCTTCTGTTGATCACGTAACCTACCAAGTTGTAATAATTTGCAGTCAGTAATATCCACTGTGCTGAAGACTGTGATCTTGCCTTACGTGAATGTACAACTCAGGAAAGGACATTCGTTGCCCCTGTTCCATGGTTACAAGCTTCAAGATACTCAAATCATTTGTGTAGATTCCTGGATTGTAATCAGCAGTGATGTGGCATCTGCATATGAAATCAGGATCGCCTAGTCCCTGCATGTAGGAAGGGTGATCTATGAAACTATCACCAGTGCTAGGTGCGAGAAATTAAGATCAAATACATGCTTAAATGCAACATTCATTGTTTATGTCACTGTTTGCTTCCCCCAGCTGTATCCAATAATGTATACGAGGATGCAATATGACTAATTGTTGTGAAGGTGTAACCCTGTGTATTTTAACCCCCAGTTAGATTCTTTTGAGTAGATTTAGTTAGATGTGTGACAGTTGCAGATTAATTCATTTGTAACATGCAGATCTGATGTAAAGGTGGCTTAGCTTCGTCTATTACCAATAGCTTTCAACTTCAGTTATCATGTGCTATAGCATTAATAGACAAGTTCTACCTTTTTGCATTCTATGAAGACTTTGCCTCTCTTTGTTCACACTTCAATTTAGATTAATTATTACTGTCGGCTACTGAATAGAAATGATAGGGGGACAGGAATTGAAAGAACTGAGATATCATGGCATAGCCTGTTTGTCTAAGTTCTTGAAATTCAAATTAAAGATAATCTTAGATTAGTTGTTTTGAATGAAAATCCCAGTAGAGGCCGCCCCCTTGCTTGTACAGGGCCATTAGTCACGACCATGTGATAACAATAAAGAATTGCGCGATATCTATCTTTCCGAATCCTGTCTACAGTTCAGCATTCTAGCAAACACCCTGTGTTGAAATACAGTTCAGATATAATTGCCTTAATGGTAGGAAGCGGAAAGAATCAATTTTTGAAGTAAATTTACCAAGTGGAGGAGTCGAAGAAATCATTGGTAGTAGTTTTCAGGGCATAATCCCCTCATTTGTCACGGGCAGGTTACAAATTGAGAGATGCAACTTCTAAATTTCACCCCAAATGCAACAAATCCAAGTTACATATTCAGTAATCACCCCGAGCATGATTCAAACATAGGAAACATATTTGTGAAGCAGACACATCTTTACAAATAAAATCATGGAAAAAAGCAAGGTAAGTAAAATATAACAAGATCTATTGCCCAGCTGATGGATTTGTCAATAATTCAAGTGATTTCTTAAGGTAGTCGACCGCAACAGAAACCTCATCAAATGCCAGAGCCCCAACTGCGAATCTTGCAGCCTTGTGCGCTTCAGCAATTTTCTCTGGTGGAGGCTGGTAACTGCTGTCATATTGGTACGATTGTGTAGCAGCAGTAGCAGCTGGTAAAGTTTCTGAAAAGCCCTCATTCCTGCCACTAGAATTGTATTGAGTAGCAGCTGGTAAAGTTTCTGACAAGCCCCCATTCCTGCCACTAGAATTGTATTGAGTAGTTGATGGAGAGTTGACAGTGTTAGATGGTGAAGAATTGGAATATGAAGTATCAGAGCCTTGATGATAAGAAGGGTAATGAGATGGAGCTGCAGGAAGGCTACTTTCGGTAAAACTAGGGTATGACTGGAAATTAGGATACGAGTATGGGGGAATGTCGTGAGGATGGTACTGTTGCGGCAAGTGCTGCTGTGGTTCTTGGTGATAGGGTGGAGGTTGATATGGCTGATGAGAATAAGGAGAATGTTCTGTTCTGTTGCTTGAAGGTAGCTGGTGGTAAGTGTCATCGGTAGGATATTGAGGTGGCTGGTGGTAAGTGTCATCGGTAGGATATTGAGGTGGCTGGTGGTAAGCGTCATCGGTAGGATATTGAGGTGGCTGGTGGTAAGCGTCATCGGTAGGATATTTAGATGGCTGGTGGTAAGCGTCATCAGTAGGATATTTAGATGGCTGGTGGTAAGCATCATCGGTAGGATATTGAGGTGGTGGTGACATGTTCGAAGAAGGCGATAATGTGATATTTGATGCTGATGGAGAAATGTTTGTAGAATGCTGCGACTTGAGTTTATCATACGACTGAGAAAATGAATCGGATTCTGGTGCAGCTCTTGTAGCAGGATCTGTCATGCCTGGTTCAGATCTGACAGCAAAATCATTTGTGCTTGGATCAAGATCCTGAAAGAGAGTACGCAGAATTACCATAAAAATTTACAGTGGATCCTTAGAGAGTGTCTGGAACTTTCATAATTAAGTATTTATTTCTTTAACTAGTCTTTTTATAAAAAACTATATCTTCCACATAAAAAGGCATTTATAGACAACTATAAGAACCTCCATGGCATTAAGTCATTTAACAGTAAGCATAAAATTATGGAACAATAACTTCTAGAACACTACCAAACGAATAAGAAAACAATTTTTTTGTAGAACTGAGGTTAGAAGATTATGTACTATTTTGATTCCATGCCAAATTTCCATATATCAGCCACTTGCACTCATACACCATGTCGTAAACCATCTAAACAATCGCATTAGCACTTCCTAGTTTACCTCAACTATCATAACGCATTACCAACTCATTAATGGGTGAAATAGACGAAGCATTTTCAAATATCATAAACAAGAAGGCAATTCCCACTTGTTAGCTCCACAATTCCATTTTACTTTCACCATTTAGTGAGGAAATTATATCCATCCATGACTTCATCCTATATCAGTGAATTAAGTGTAGCAACTCAAAAGGGAATAAAGTTACATGTTCACCACTTGATGTCCTTGATGGCAATGATAGATCTTCATCACCCCCAGGAGGACCTGGTACGGGCTTTCTCCCTTCTTTTATAGCTTTCCTAATATCTGCCGCTTTCCATGCTGCATACTTCTGTTTCTGCTCAAGCTGTATAACAGATTATTGGAAAGATTGAAAAAAATAACAAAAGATAATTGACAACGGAGGGAACCCAAAAGAAGCAAAGAAGAGGGGTAAAAGCTGAGAGTTGTGCTAGGGCAGAGAGTGACAACAAACTGTCACTCTTGATATTGATATGGGGACATAAACTTACATCAGGCTGAAGTTGACCAAACTGAATGATAATTTCAAAGAAAATGCTTGCTGCATAAAAAGTTTTCGCAGTATTCCTGCAAGAACCAAATGCAATCAGAAGCTGAAGGGATCAAGGGGTAGACCAAAATAATATGTTCTCCAGTCTCTTTATATGCACGTGTCTAAGTATTTAACTCAATCCACAGCCAATCATTTTAAAGTATGAACTCTAACTCTGCAAATAAAAAACTTAGTCTGTAAAGGATATAGAGGGAGAAAAATATTTAGCAGCATTTAAGAAGACTTAATTTGCAACAAAAATAGTAGAAACCATGACTTAGTTCTAGGCACAATAATTCTTGTCAACGTGCACTCCAATGTCTGCAGCACAAGTTGTGTGCATCCAAATCATATGGTAAACCTAGGAGAACTATATGGCACAAGGAACAAGGATGAGGTATCCTGAAGTATAGCTCCTTAAAGTGCCAACAAGTTACAAACTTAAAAACTTCTGTGCTACGGAAATGACTCGCACATGAACGGAAGAATACAAGAAACTATCAAAATTATTGCTTCTTTCCATTCATTCCCCTGATTTCAGAAGTGGCTTCCTGTGGGCAGGGGAACCTCTTCATCTATTCATGGAGAAGTCTAAAAAACCATGGCACCCACATTAAGGGAAAGCCAAACAAAAAGCAACTGCCAGACAAATGGTACCGTCCAATTTGGGCCTCGTGCAGCTATTCTTAGAAAAGTTAATGAACCACGTCGCCCACGGTAACAAGAAAGCCATGTCTATCTGAAGCGATTAATAATTAGACCTCAATAACCATAGTCTTGGTTCAAACTCGTGTTTCCACCATAAGTTTCAGAAAAACTAAACTTGGAAAGATAAATCTATTCAGAAAAGTTTTAAATTCAGCAACAGTCTTGTGATATTGAAAACATGTAAGCACTGTCCTAATAATGAACCACTTTTATCATATGTAGGAGAAAATATTTCTGATATTGATAGCAGTTTCAAAGAAAATGTTTTAATAGTTTCAATTGATCCATAAGCCAAGTGAAACACAATGGGTTTTGTGGAATATATAGCTCTGAAATTACACACGTTCTTTCCTAAATATTGAATTGGACAAAATCAATATATTTCCGTGCAAATATAAAATATAAACCTTGGTTATAAGAAATCTTCCCACCCCTCCAACCTCCATGCAAATACAATATTGCACTTCTTTTCTTGATCTGCATATTTAACTCAGGTCACTTAGTCATATTAATGTTTTTGTCACTCTTTCTCCCCATTTTTAAGGTGTGCAGAAATGGGCAATAGAAAGCTTAGTACCCTCCACTATTACTACCGCACCTTTCATCACAATCAGATCAGTCGATGTCTATACATGATATATCCAGTTCTACCCCTGACCCGCATTAAGCAAGCACAAGCACAGTCTTAAATATGGTCCACATTAAGATAGCACAAAATCCTTTAATTACCATGACAACACAAGAAACATATGACACAAAATAAATGCTTAAGAAGTTGAAGGGAATTTCTCATACAAATCAGCTCGCCCAGCTCGATCTTGCTTATCTGCTTTTGCAAAGACGTTCAAGGCAAAACCCTCCAGATGTAGATGGTCATCAGACCCTAACGTCAATGACTTCTTATCCTGCAAAAAAACGAAAACATGAGACAACAGAAAGCTAATTTTTCAGTAATGTTATTGCTGCATTGCTATATATCACCTATAAATTTAAATTTTGAACCACATTGCTATGGAAACAAGATTATATCCATAAAACATGGCCTCGCTCAAAACAGAAGAATTGCAAAAAAATAATGAATTAGCAAATACGTACTTTAGGAAAACTTAGCTATAACCAGATAAATCTAGCTAAATAATTTAATGTCCATATACCAAATATATGCAACCAAAATATAATGCGTTTGCACTCTACATATACCATAATAACAAACCTTACCAAGAACATAGACACGTAACTTCATATCATAAGCTTATATTAGTGTTTGATTTAAACTTACCCTGATCATAAACAATTAATCAACAGGAAGTCAAAATGAATCATTTAGACAAAAAGAAAAAAGAAAAAAAAAAAGAACCTTCTCGAGTTGTTTCATGAGGGAAACAAGTAAAGCGTTGGTGGTTTTGGTACGCTCGCTCTGAGGAATCTTCAAACCTCGTTCCATCGCATACAATCGACCTGTCAAAAAATCCCCACTCAATGACGATTTTTCATCACAACACCGTCTCTCAAAATTAGGGTTTACATTTTCGAATTTTCTTAATTATTAAGATTTAAACGAAAAGATCGGGAGAAAAATAGAGTATTACAGTAGTAAGCGACGAGGGGTTCGTGCTTTTGCAACTCATCGGCTCTTTGAAGGTAAGGTAAAAGGAGCTTTGCCGGTTCATTGTCAGCAGCCATCGCGTAGTCGGAGAATCACCGGCGGGTGTGTGACTGCGATTAGTTATTGCTTCAAACGCGAAATATGAAAGTCATATACCCGTATCGTGTTTTCAAAGGCAGCGAAATGGGATGGAATTGGGCTTATAATATAATTAATTTAGAGGAAATTTCTTAATTAATTAATAAATAAATGTAACATATTTTTATGGGTACATTGTTAGCAACAAATTTATGGTTAAATTCACTCATGGTCACACTTCAAACTTAGTCTCACATTAGCAATCCAATTTGATTTTATTTCATCATGATCAACCAACTTTATACTTAGTTTCCATCAAGTAGTCTCACATTAGCAATCCAATTTGATTTTATTTCATCATGATCATCCAACTTTATACTTAGTTTCCGTCAAGTTACCCGATAACTTTATTTAACATAATCAAATTGGGGTGATTATGTGGCACTAAGTATGAAGTTGGGTGATCATAGTAAAACAAAATCAAATTGGGTGATCAGTTCGACAATAAATATGAAATTTGATGACCATGGTAAAACAAACTCATTGAATGGCCAATGTGACACCACGTATAAAATTGGATGGCCATTGGTAAATTTAACCCAACAAATTCATCAACTTGGTACGTTTGTTTCACTAGTAGAATGTGAACCATGCGTAACGATTCACTAATAAAGGGGGGAAAAAGTATCCCTTGTGTTAATGTATATACATATATACACAATATACATGTTAGTTAGTCCCACATTGATTAGAAAGTAAAACATTCCTATCAAGTTAAATTATAAATATGATGCCTCTCTTGTAAACAAATCACATTATTCAATACAATTTTATTCTCTTTGTATTATCTTATTTTTTCTCTTAAATTCAACTTGGTATCAGAGCTACTATTTTTAGTTATTTTCGATATATCAAGAGTTGAATATGCTATGTGATTGCCACTATTAGTGGATCCTTCACATCAGAAACACTTCTTTTATATCATCGTCATACTTGTTGGGACGTCACTATAGTCAGAGTCTTATTCTCCATCGACATCATCTCAGCCACCACTCCATCAGTTCAGTTTGGTTCCGTTATTTTTTTTTTTTTTTTTTTTCCTCATCTAGTTTCGTTCACATTATGGAGTATCTTGATACTTCACAACCCATTGCCATTATCATGGAAGGACTCAACTACACCATATGAGCTCAGGCTATGTCAAGCTTTCTTAAGGACAAAAAGCTATGGTGATATGTCACTGGTGATATCACTGAACCAAAGAAAGTCGTTGGAGAAGACAACGCAAAATACATAGACCGTCTCGAAGAGTGGGATAGCAAGAACCACCAAATTATCACTTGGATTTGCAACACGTGTGTACGCTCCATCGGTCTCCAGTTTGTTAGATTCAAGACTGCCAAGTCATTATGGGATTTTGAACAGAAACTCTACACCACTGCAAATCTGTCTCATCAATACCAACTTCTGGGTACTCTACATCGTATGCAACAACAACCTGGGCAATCTATCAATAGTTTCTTATCTGAGATGCACTATGTTTGAGATCAACTTGCTTCCTCAGAACCAGAGTTTACAGATGCCAAAAATGCTAAGAAATTTTCCAACTATCGAGATCAGCAACACTTGGTTCTCTTTCTCATGGGCCTCACTAATGAGTTTGAGCATGTTCGTATATCTCTCCTTCACCGCAATCCCTTACCTACTTTAGATCAAGATGTTACTGAACTTCTTTCGGAGGAAACTCGTCTTGCCCCTCGCAAAACAACCTCTATAGATACTGTCTTCGCCACTCCCAGAGGACCTCAACCCAACAACAAAGGGCATTCATCTGGATCTTTTCAACACAACAACAAAGGGCATCCATCTGGATCTTCAAAATTCTGCAATTACTGCAAGAAACCAGGACACACTTTCTTGGAATACCCGATTCGAGTTTGCCAATTCTGTCAGAACCAAGCCCTATGTCATCTTTAGCGTGATTATTTTCAAAACCCCAACAGACACTCCCAGCAATACATGTCTCGCGGTACTCCTTCTAGATCTGCAGCCACTACTGCTGAATGTTCATCATTCACTACTTCCAGTGAGACGTTTTCTGCCTCTAATATAGAGGAAATTGTCAAATAAGTCCTTGCTCATTCTGGTAATATACTCTCTACTGCTATGTCAGTCACCTAAGGTAATTCATCCTGCTTCTTCGACTCTGCATGATGTAATCACATGACACCTGATTCCACTATATTTGCCACCAAACATCTTGCTAATCATGCTCCGACTATTCAAACTGCTGATGGTTCTTCTATGACTGTGAGTCATATCGGAAAAATATCGACATTAAACACTTCTCTTCCTGATACTTACTGTATTCCCCAACTCACTCTCAATCTTATATCTGTTGGTCAATTATGTGACTTCGGTCTAACTGTCCCCTTTTCTGCTTCTGATTGTTGTGTGCAGGATCCAAAGACGGGACAAACTCTTGGGATAGGCCGTAAGGTTGGACGACTCTTTGAGCTCATCAATCTTCACCTTCCATCCCGTTTCTCCTCATCAGTTCAAACAGCAGCTCCAGTTTCATCTACCCCATCCATCAGTCTCTGGCATTCTCGTATGGGTCACGCTTCTGTTGGTCATCTTCAATCTTTAGCATCTAGTGGTCATCTAGGACTTGTTACTAAAGAACAATTTGATTGTCTTCCTTGTCAACTTGCAAAACAATTGGCATTGCCATTTTACAAAAGTGATTCATTTTCTTCTGCACCATTTAATTTGATTCACTCTGATGTTTGGGGCCCGTCTCCCACTCCTACTATGGGAGGCTCTAGATATTTTGTCATTTTTGTTAATGATTACTCTCGTTACACTTGGATATTTCTTATGCGCAATCGATCTGAATTACCTCAGTTGTACTTTGATTTTGCTACCATGGTCAAAACTCAATTTTCTTGCAATATCAAAGTGTTTCGTGCTGACAATGCTGCTGAATACACAGACTACAAAGTCCTTAACTTTCTTCACCAACATGGCACCCTTCCTCATCGTTCATGTCCAGGCACTTCTCAACAAAATGGGCGTGCTGAACGCAAACATCGAGACATTCTCAATACCGTCCGTGCTCTTCTCATATCCGCTTCATGTCCTGAACGCTTTTGGGGTGAAGCTACTCTTACAGCTGTTTATACCAAGAACCGTGTGCCTTCTCCCATTACTGGGAATCAATCACCATTTGAACGTCTTTATGGTCACCCTCCTGACTATAACACTCTTAAGGTATTTGGTTGTGCCTGTTTTGTTCTTCTTCATCCTCATGAGCGCACCAAATTGGAATCTAGATCTCGATTATGTTGTTTCTTAGGATACGGTATTGAACACAAAGGCTACAGATGTTGGGATCCTTACTCCAAACGTCTCCGAGTATCTCGTCATGTTGTTTTCTGGGAACACAAGATGTTCGCCTCCATATCCAAGTTTCACCTGCCGCATGACAACACCTCTCTCCTATTCACTGATCTCTCCACAGATCTTTTTCCTGACACTCCAGAGACAAACTCTTCCTCTGAGTCAACATCTCCACCAACACATCCTCTCTCTCTCAGATATGTCATTACCAACTGATATGCCTACAGATCCCTCAATTGAGTTATCCACCTTACCCTCTTCTGAAGAACTTGTCTCTTCCGATGGATCCGCTCCAACAGCTTCTGATCTCCCTACTCGACGAAGTGACAGGGTAAAAATTCCTTCTGTTAATCTTCGTGACTTTGTTGTATTTTCTACTATTCTTTCTCACCATGAACCTCAGTCTTATCGTGAAGCTAGTTCTGATCCTCTTTGGCAGAAAGCAATGAATGATGAACTACAGGCACTCGAAAACACTCATACCTGGGATCTAGTGGATCTACCAAAGGGCAAACATGCTATGGGATGCAAGTGGGTCTACAAGATCAAAACTCACTCTGATGGGTCCATTGATCGGTACAAAGCTCGCTTGGTAGCTAAAGGGTTTACCCAGGAGTATGGGATTGACTATGAGGAGACCTTTGCCCCGGTTGCTCGCCTTACTTCAGTTCGCAGCCTAATTGCAGTTGCCGCCGTTCGTCGTTGGGAATTGTTTCAGATGGATGTGAAAAATGCCTTTCTTAATGGTGAACTCACCGAAGAAGTTTATATGTGCCCTCCTCCTGGTTCTCATCATCTTCCGCATCAAGTCTGCAAACTTCGTCGGGCTCTATATGGTCTCAAGCAAGCTCCTCGGGCTTGGTTTGCCAAGTTCAGCACCATTGTTGGAGATTTTGGGTTCACTTCCAGCTCACATGATTCTGCTCTTTTCATTCGCAAAACAGACCAGGGTACTATCCTTCTTCTCCTCTATGTTGATGATATGATCATCACTGGTGATGACACATCCGGAATTTTGGATCTCAAGACTTATCTTAGCCAACATGTCGAGATGAAAGATCTTGGAAAGCTTAGTTACTTTTTGGGACTTGAGATCACTTCTAACTCTGAGGGATATTATCTTTCGCAAGCAAAGTATGCTTCTGATCTTCTTACTCGAGCGGGACTCACAGATAGTAAGACATGTACTACTCCTCTAGAGCTCAACTCTAAACTCACTCCTATGGATGGTACACCTTTGGATGACCCCACCTTGTTTCGCCAGTTGGTCGGTAGTCTTGTTTATCTTACAGTTACTCGCCCTGACATCTCTTATGCTGTCCATATTGTCAGTCAATTTCTCTCTGCTCCTCGCACATCCCATTATGCCGCAGTACTTCGGATTCTCAGGTACATCAAAGGGACCCTATTTTATGGTCTCCATTTCTCATCCCAATCTTCACTTGAGCTTCGCGCCTACTCAGATGCAGATTGGGCAAGTAACCTCACTGATTGTAGATCCATCACTGGTTATTGCTTCTTCCTTGGTGATTCTCTTATTTCTTGGAGCAGCAAGAAGCAAACAGTAGTCGCTCGATCCAGTACAAAGGCTGAGTAT